TTTACTCATGTAACCAAATACCACTTGTTTTCCCCAAAACCTATGGAAATAAAAGTAAATAAATAAATAAATAAACTATGGCATTCTTCCCAGCAAATATAAAATAAAATGAAAACTCAAGTTTACATTTTCCTCTCTCCTTTTTGGCAGGACAAATTTTAGATATGTTTTTAAATAATAACTTTTTTCTTTTTCTGAGACAGGATCGATCTCCCTTTGTTACCCAAGCTGGAGTGCAGTGGTGCAGTTATAGTTAACTACAGCCTCAAACTCCTGAGCTCAAGTGATCTTCTGTCTCAGCCCCATGAGTAGGTAAAACTAAAGGCACATGCCACCATGCCTGGCTAATTTGTTATCTAACCTTTCTGTAGAGATGAACTCTTGCTATGTTGACCAGGCTTAAAATAAACAAATTTTAATTAATTTAAATATTTCTAACATTTTGGGCATTCATGAGTACAGCTCCATCTATTGGGCATTCATGAAAACAGCTCCATCTATATTGTGAGGTAATGGGATAATATGGCAGTGTAAGTTTGAATAAGAATATTAAACAAGGCCTTAGGAGAAAAGTATAATATGCTTATTATAGATGCATCACTAAAAAAAATTGTCTGGGGTAATACCATTAATTATATTGAAATTAAACTTTGATTCACATGTAAATATAGGTCCTAAATTTGGATTAAATACAATAGATTGACCACAAATGTATTTCCTCTGCCTCTGGAAGTCTCGTTAGTCATATATAAAATACTGGTTACAAATAGGATCAGGAGAGAAGGTTGCCAGAGATGATTTTTAATAAATGCTGGGACATAAAAAGCACATAAAGGAGTGGTAAATAACACAGAAGCACAACTTTGGTCCCTACAGAAAGTGACTGGAAGAGAAGCAAGCCAGTTTGTCTTGTAGAACTAAAGGCAGGCTGTGAACTTACCGGCAAATAGAACTTTGGAAAGTAGGGTAAAATGTAAAATAAAAGGCAGCAATGTCAGAAAATTTGTGGTTAGAGCCCCAAGTCCAACTGTCCTCCCATCTCATAAGAAACTTAGATGTGTGTTTTCTGCATATACCAAACCTGAGAATTTCTAGGTTCAGAAATATCAAGACTTAAACCTGAGATATAAAGAAAACTGTGCACCAAAAATAGAACTCCAACTTGCTTCCCTAACTCTGCTTTTGGAAAGCAAGTAGACATTCTTTTACTTCCCAGGCAGGAAAATTGGGAGATCCTTTCTCAGAAGAAACTGAACTGACTCGAGTAAAGATCCCTAGATAATACACTGAAGTCCCGCAAATGAAAAGCTAGTTTGGCTTCCAAAACCACACACTGAGTGCCACCAGTTAACAGAAGTCCTGCTTCCAAATAAAATCAGGGAACACCACATATTCGAGGGAAGCCTCCAACAAGAGAGATCAAAACAACAGAAAAAAAGGAATTCATGGACCAGTCAAAATTAGGAGCAAAACTTTAAGAGAAAACCTAAAAACACACTGAAAAAGATATACAATTCAATAGAAATATTAGAGTACAAAGTCACAGAAACTGAAAAATCAAAGGGGAAAAATTAAAAACCAATGCAGGTATACTGGCCTAAGCAGCTGAGTGTCTGAATAACAAGACTGTCAGAAAAAAAGGAATAGAGAAAATACAAAAATTCTCAAGAAGAGATAGTCTTCAGACTTAGTAGCCTCAATAAAATGAAAAGATTCCCACCAAGCTGTTATTATGAAATTTCAGAAGCTCAGTGAGCGAGAAGCTTCTAAAAGCTTCCACAGGTACATAAAACCTGGTTATAAATAATATATCTCACAATGGCAATAGAGTCAAGAACAACACTGTAATGAGGGCACAATTGTGAAATATCTTCAGAACCCTAAAGTTTAGATTCAACCTAGAAGTTTACTCTCTATCAAAAAGGAGGGATTTTAAGACTAGCCAGATCCCTAAACTTCTCTGGCCAGGAACATGTGCTCAAGTACAACTAGAGAGGATAACAGGACAGCAGGAAACAGAATCTAGGACTCAGGTGATCCCACACAAGATGGCAGCTACGTGAGATCCCAAAAGACTTTAAGGAGCTAGCACAGAAAAGCAGACATTGAGCATATCTAGGGAAAGCCACTCCATATTGAACTGGGATGACAAAATGTCAAAGAAAGTTGCTCCCCCACCCACGGCAAAAAAAAAAAAAAATAGAACTGATGTGTTTTAGCAGATGGAAAGTATCTTTGAAAGGCATGGGATAAATGCTACAACACCTGGGGGGAAAACTGCTGTCATAAAACAGGCAAACGAATATAGTCAGAAAATTAGCTTCATGCTAAAAAATAATGGATGTGAAAGAAAACAGACCAGCCAGGGGCTACTTACAGCATTTGGCTGGGTAAAGTAACATAGGCTAGGAAGAAAGAGATGATCCAGAATAAGTGCAGAAATGCTCAGATTTCAGAACTGTTTCAGAGAAAGAATGAAGGACATATAATGCAGAGGCATAGTCAAAACACCATATGACTTAGCAGTGAATAGAATTTGCATAGTCATAATCATGTAAATATTACTGATTTAATTTAAAAGTGTGCTACAGTTGGAAGAAACAGAGGGAGAAAAATAAGGTCATGGTGTAGTGAGGAAGGTATGCTTTCACCTGCTATGACAAAGTCAATAGACAGTGCTGATAGCTATTCTATTTTTGTTATTTATTATTCTGTATTTGTTATTTTGTTCTTTGTTATTTCTTAGCTATTCTATTTTTGTTATTTGATTAAAAATATGATTAAATATTTAAGGCAGATCTTTATACCACAACCAGACTATTGAAATTTAACTTAAATGTCAGAAACTCTTAAAAGGTGGACACACTAAGCTGCAGACTTTTCTCTGAATAAATTTGATACCTAGGAAAATACAAAAAGAGGTCCATGCTATTACCACTGAGTCCCCATTATAATTTAAAGGAATCAAGAGAGACATATTTTTATATCAAACTATCAATTTCTTAACTTTTTGACTGTTTACGTACATGATTTGTATAGTTGCTTTTTTTCTCTTGTACTAAGAATGAAAAAACATGGTCACTTCTGATACAAATACCATAAAATAAGAGTAGTAATGTCTTACTAAACACTCCTAAATGAGGAAAAATTCTATTTAAAAATACTTTCAACAATTTATATTTAAATTATCTGGCATGATAAATCTCATAAAGTAAAATCTAAAAACTTAGTTTTACTTTTTGACCTAGTTTACTTTTTGTTTCTATTACATACACATGAAAGAATCCTTGTGTACAAAAGAAAAGGGCAAAGAAAATGAGGCCCGATAAAAAAGTTAGCTAATAAAGCAGTTTGACTGTTGCATATATGAGCCATGAGTATTTTCTCATTTACCAGAATCTAAGAGTTAACAGCTCTAAGAACTACTTTCTGGCCAGGCACTTATCTCTAGATGCACCAAAATCCCTGTGAGCATCTCAAACCACACTTAGTGGTTATCTACTAATATGCCACTAAAAACAAAACAACTGGAAAGTAACCTATCTTAAATTTAAATTTTAAAATGATTATACAAACCCCGATTGGACATGGTGTCCGCAGCACAAAAAATCATTTTTTTTTTCTAAAAAAAAACCAAAAAACAAAAAACAGGCCAGCATAATAAAAGCTCTAAGAGGAATTGGGTCATGCTTTGTTTCCTACACTGCCTCCACCTTTGATGGTGGAAAGGCCTTGCAAGCAAACATTCCTACCACTGAAGAGTGAGGGACATGGAATACCTTTTGTTTTACCTCTTCCATGCTCTCCATGTGGGAGAAGCCTACAGCTCTGGAAGGAACTGGGAAAAACAACTCTGATATGGTTTGGATATTTCCCTCCCCTCCAAATCTCATGTTAAAATGTGACCCTTAAATATTGGAGACAGGACCTAGTGGGAGGTGTTTGGGTAATGGCGGTGGATTCCTTATGAATGGCTTGGTGCCATACCCATGGTAATAAGCAAATTCTCATTCTGGTAGTTTAAAAGAGTGTGACACCTTCCCTCTACCAGCCTCTCCCTCCCTCTCTCACCATGTGGAACCACCTCCTTCCCCTTTGCCTTCCATCATGATTGTAAGCTTGCTGAGGCCCTCACCAGAAACAGATGGTGAAGCCATGTTTGTACAGCCTGAAGATCTATGAGCCGATTAAACCTATTTTTGTTATAAATTACCCAGCCTTAGGTACCTCTTTATAGTAATGCAAAAATGAACATAAATTCTAACCAGAAATACCTGACTCAAGACAGGCAAAGTGTACTCAAACTACAAAAAGAAAGATTACAAACTCCCCTATTTTACTGTGCTGCATTACTTCCCATTTTATTATAGATCCTCACTTGTATTCTTGCTGCTTAAATCAAATGGAAAACATGGCTGTGTATGGCTTTTTAACAAACAAATGATGATTTAACATAACATTAAGGAAAATAAGCAGAAGTAGGGCATGTTTAAAATTACATTACATCAGATGAAAAGGTTAATAACTTAAAAGTTTCGGGAAGCATAAACTTGGATGTGATAAACTCATGTGATCAGGAGACTGTGCAAGAGGAGGCCAAAATCACAGATTCAATCTCTGTTGATGAGTAACTATGTTTTTTTATTTGTTTAAATGGAAACTAAGCTGAAGCCAAAGTTCTATCTTTAAAATGTACTCTTTGGAGCAAGGCAGAAGGGGCAAAGAATTATAAATGAAGATAAATCTATGACTCCTCCATCACATGACAAATTGTGTTGATAAAAAGATGGCAAAATGTGTAGACAAAAAGTTTACATGATTTCATTGACACAGTAACAATTAAGAAAAAGTATATAACACATTAAAATAAGACAAGTAAATATGTGAAAAGTTGAAAAAATCAAACCAATACGAGTTTCTAAATACTTTCTATAATACATCTGATCAAACAACAAGAGTTTTCACTCTTTTTCTTGGCAGAAAAGACAATGTTGTCTCACCATCTGTTGGAGATTTTCTCGGGAATATTGTGCTTGCCTCTGGATGGTCAGAAGGGTTGGACTCCAAAGGTATATCTATAGAGGGACAGAAGAAAAAAAGATGTGATCATTTATAAAAATATATGAACTCATTTATTTGACTGCTGCATTTAGGCTATTTACCTACCTCTACTTTTATTCTCATCCATTGAAATGAATGTATAGACATAAGATGAAGCCAGGCAAGATGGCACATGCCTGTAGTCCCAGCTACTCAGGAGGCTGAGATGGGAAAATCCCGTGAGTCCAGGTCAGGAATTTGAGGACAGCATGGGTAACATAGTGAGACCCGCCTTTATTTAAAAAAAAAAATTGGCGGAGCAAGATGGCCGAATAGGAACAGCTCCAGCCTCCAACTCCCAGCACGAGTGACACAGAAGACAGGTGATTTCTGCATTTTCAAATGAGGTACTGGGTTCATCTCATTAGGGAGTGTGGGACAGTGGGTGCTGGTCAGCTGCTGCAGCCTGACCAGCGAGAGCTGAAGCAGGGAGAGGCATTGCCTCACCTGGGAAACTCAAGGGGGAAGGGAATCCCTTTTCCTAGCCAGGGGAACTGAGACACACAACACCTGAAAAATCGGGTAACTCCCACCCCAATACTGTGATCTACCAAGGAACTTAGCAAACGGGCACACCAGGAGATTATATCCCACACCTGGCTGGGAGGGTCCCATGCCCACGGAGCCTCCCTCATTGCTGGCACAGCAGTCTGTGATCTCCCGGCAAGGCAGCAGCAAGGCTGGGGGAGGGGTGCCTGCCATTGCTGAGGCTTAAGTAGATAAACAAAGCGGCTGGGAAGCTCTAACTGGGTGGAGCTCACAGCAGCTCAAGGAGTCCTGCTTGTCTCTGTAGACTCCACCTCTGGGGACAGGGTACAGCTAAACAACAACAACAACAACAACAACAAAAAGCAGCTGAAACCTCTGCAGACGCAAATGACTCTGACAGCTTTGAAGAGAGCAACGGATCTCCCAACACGGAGGTTGAGATCTGAGAACCGACAGACTGTCTGCTCAAGTTGGTCCCTGATTGACCCCTGAGTAGCCTAACTGGGAGACATACCCCACTAGGGGCAGACCGACACCCCACACCTCACATGGTGGAGTATACCCCTGAGAGGAAGCTTCCAAAGCAAGAATCAGATAGGTACACTCGCTGTTCAGCAATATTCTATCTTCTGCAGCCTCTGCTGCTGATACCTAGGCAAACAGGGTCTAGAGTGGACCTCAGGCGATCTCCAACAGATCTACAGCTGAGGGTCCTGACTGTTAGAAGGAAAACTAACAAACAGGAAGGACACCCACACCAAAACCCCATCAGTACGTCACCATCATCAAAGACCAGAGGCAGATAAAACCACAAAGATGGGGAAAAAGCAGGGCAGAAAAGCTGGAAATTCAAAAAATCAGAGCGCATCTCCCGCTCCAATGGAACGCAGGTCATCGCCAGCAACGGATCAAAGCTGGATGGAGAATGACTTTGATGAGATGAGAGAAGAAGGCTCCAGTCCATCAAACTTCTCAGAGCTAAAGGAGGAATTATGTACCCAGTGCAAAGAAACTAAAAATCTTGAAAAAAGAGTGGAAGAATTGATAACTAGAATGATTAATGCAGAGAAGGCCATAAACGAATTGACAGAGATGAAAAGCATGACACGAGAAATACGTGACAAATGCACAAGCTTCAGTAACCGACTCGATCAACTGGAAGAAAGAGTGTCAGCAATTCAGGATAAAATGAATGAAATGAAGCGAGAAGAGAAACCAAGAAAAAAGAAGAAAAAGAAATGAACAAAGCCTGCAAGAAGTATGGGATTATGCAAAATGACCAAATCTACGTCTGATTGAGCTTGGGAGTTATACCTGATGTAAATGACGAGTTGATGGGTGCTGACGAGTTGATGGGTGCAGCACGCAAACTGGCACAAGT